AAAACTGTAAATATTGCATCAGAGATGAGTTCTCCTGATATTTTAAGGAACTTTTTATACAATTCTCTGTCCCTGTCTGTCATACACACCTATTAGGCTTTTTTTGGGACAGATTCAGTGTTTTCCTCTCCCTGACACTTGGCTATTGTTCTATTAGCTCTTTGGTTGTTTTATCACAGGATAATAGAGAGTGAAGGCTCTGTGAGCATAGCTCACCGTGCCCTTATGTTATGAAAATGTATATCTAGAATAATAATCCAAACTTTAAAAAGGGTCATATAGTTTTCTTCACAGAAATTAATGAAATGCTCAAAACCAAAAAAGCCTAACGAGCCCCCTTGATCTTCTGGCGACCCCTAGTTTTAGAGTTAAGTGGATGCAGTGATATTGTTAGAGAGCTTTAAAATGATCAAAGTGAAAATACAGGAAACTTGAAAATGATCCACATGCTCCTTTAGATGTCTATTCTATTTCAGAGCTCCTTCCTGTTTCAACTGGTTACATTATCATAGCCACAAAGAACGATGGCAAAAATAACACCCAGGTTGTCAAAAAAAGGAACTTAACTTTAAAGCCAAGGAGAAGTAACAGTGTGGGCCATGACATTTATCTGTATGCACGTGTCCACGCATCTACATACTGTAGGGGATACATGTGAGTACTCACTGAGTGTTCTCCAGCTCTAGCGCTGCCACAGCAGAGACAAAAGGCACAAAGCGATTGTGGTGGAGCAGCAGTCGAACCATGGGCAGAACAGCCTCATATCGCTCTCTGCAGATATCCCCCAAGATGTGTGCTGCAGACGCCGAGATGGGCTGAAGGAGGCAAAGAGGCATTGGAAAAAATAGGAGAAGGAAAATATATTAGACTGATCAATTCCATGATCATATTTCAATAACATTTTAAAAAATGTGAATGGATAACACAAAGGAAAGCTACACCACCATAAATGCTATATTAAGGGCACTAGAAAGGCGTGTGTATTCTGTAAGTGTGTAAATGTACGTTCTTTTACACGTTTTCCCTCCATCTTAGGATTTACTGTAACTTGAGCTACTGTCTTACCTTCACATCAGGGGATTTGAGCAGCAGGTTGCAGAGTGGTGTGTAGCAGGCAGATGGCAGCACCGTGTCTTCTATGTAGGTCAGCTTCAAACGCAAAGATCCCAAATCATCAGACTTGGACTTGCTGCCGTTCCCTTTAGGCTGGAGGAGATACCTGTGAGTCCACAGGAAGAAAGACAGCATATTTCTGAGCTGCTATGTGTTGAAAAACAAACACTTTTCAATGTTATGAATAACCTCTCTCTTAAGTCAACCTACTTAAAATTACACATGGGCCAAATAATCAACCAAATAATTTTACTAAGTTCACTACTTCGCTTTAAGAAAATAGAGGCTGATGGGATGGTTGAGCCTGCTGACCTAAAACCACCTGATCAAAACGTCAGAGACCAACTGTGTCAATCACAGCCAAAAAGACAATTTATTGGACCGGAAAAAAAGAATCTTTGGTCAAAATTTTGATTCAATAATGACCTTTAGTGTGTTTGTACCTAACATATTTCCTAAATATAGGAGGGGTCGAACATAAAACTACCTTTCTGAACCTAAAAACAACAGCTGAACATGCTGGTGGGAGAATAGTTTCTGGGTACAGTGCTTTGGGAGATATACGGCACTGTGAATAGTAATATGTAAATGTCAGCACAGGGGACGGAAGTTCTCTGTTTTCTAACTGGGACAATGCTGCCTTTAGAAAGAAATCTTTTGCCGTTTAACAAGCATGAAAACTATTTGTAAACTGATAAAACAGAACACACAACCAAATAGTACATCAACTAAGTGATCAGTTATGTGTTAAAATACATTAGTGTCCAATGTATAATTCAACAGGCTGTTAGGGATACATTAATACACCCAGAGGATATTTTACTGTAGCTACTGTTGCTCTTAAGCATCACCAAGATGAAAGCAGCACAAACTCCTCGTAAAGAGAGTTTAAAGTACTACTCAATTAAGCTAATGCTAACCTGTATGTACTATAAATCAAACAGCTGTCTTTGCCATTAGCTTCTTATTTTCCCTGTGGTTTTAACAATTCTGGTGGGCTGGATGACTTCCACTTAAAATGAAATGATTTGTTATGTAGTTTAAGAGAATATTGCTCATATTTCTGCAGCATGTACATCTTTGTAAAAGCCAACAGGTGGAGCAAAACACAAAATGATTAAATGTAGAGCTGAGCTGCAGTGTTTCAAAAGCTGCAGGTACATACTGTAGGATTGTCCATACGCTTGTTGACCTGTAATCATGGTACACAGGCAGAGACGCTCGCTGATCAACAGATCACCTGTGCCGATTTAATGACACCGAGCAGTTTTTATGTGTGCAAAATGGACCGTTTCCAGCATAAACATAGGACATGAGGTACTGCCACCATGCAAAAAGCCACCCACGCTCTCAACACACAGCCCTCATGTACCAACAGATTGCTATCTGGCATAATCCCACATCACCTACACTGACGCAAAGCTAGGATACACCCACACAATGGAAAAAACGCAGAACACTGAGAAATCTAGGAAGATTTTCCAAATCACCTTGTAATGACAGTTCAAGTTGTCCTAATGGATAAACAGGAAGGCGTTCCTAAAACAGAAAGACTTCCAAAGCGAGAAGCTCCACCTCTAAAGCGTCAAAGATCTGATCTGGTTAAGAGGAAGGTGACTGGGCCGTGATGTCAGGGTAGCAGTGTCTGGCTTGGTTTTGTTTAATGCAAACAATCCAATACATTTATTTAGAAACAAACACCTCAGTCTTTGTCAGGGATACGTTATGTTTCCACAGTCAAATTAGCTCTACCAGAGAGACAGGCTATCCATGTTTGAACTTATAAGTATGTGTTTTAAAATACCCCCACAGAAAATCTGATCTGTGGTTCATAAACACGAGCCAGGGCAGATGTATGTATGCTGCACAGGTCTTCTCGTCTTTTATTATCTTCCCTGGAAATCTAAAATGGGCCTATTCATTTTCAGCCGAGGCAGTACATGAAAGCCTTTAGGGCAAAACAACAGGCCTATGTATGTGAAAATATTTCACTGCATGTAGCTCACGTAACTTTGAAGAAAAGGAATATGAGGTGGATGGAGAAGATGTATTTAAACAAACTAACACAAAAAACTGGTTCTGCTCAATCGAAATTCAACCATCTGCTAGATCAATGGAAATAGTAGATCGCTGTGACGCAATTCATATTATTACCAGAAGTTAGCATGAAGCTAGCCCAGAAGCTGTTAGAAATTGTTAACTGCTTCAGTTAAATTGTTTTCTACCATCATTTATACTCCTCATATTTACATGTTTAAGTTTAGACGCTCACAAAATAACATTATATTTTAACAATGTACATAAATTCCTCAGATAATAAAAGATTTTATTTTATAAAGAAAGTCTGAATTGAATCTAGCTGTTTAACAGTTGACGGTCTGGTGGAAACTAATAGTGAAAACTGGAGGTTTGGAAAAATAAATGGTCACAAAACTCATTGAATCTAATGGATAAGACCCAAGATCTGGAGCTGTAAGAAACACCTTTTTTTATTTCTAAATGGATTTGTGGGTGTTTATCTTCGGTGGACACCGGCGATCCACCGCCACAGTAAAGAGTGAGTTTAGCAGATTGTAGCAGCGTGTGTACAATGTCTGTGTTTCAACTTGACTGAGTTATGACTCAGAGAGAGGTGGTGTGACACTCACAGCAAACAAAAAAGAAAAAGGAAAAAACTAAAATACATCATAAAGAATTGTCCTGTCCACATTTCTAGTGGAGAGTAAATGTTAGAAATTAAAAAGACATTTTGTTCTGTCCTCACCAGGCTTTGTGGATGTGGTCATTTCGCAGGATCTTGACAGGGACCCGTGTCTCCCCCAGAAACACATCCTGAGCCAGACTTTCATTGTTCCACAAATCAACTCTGCAAAGGTAGAGGATGGAAACAGAAACAGAAACAAGTATTTCATCCATTAATGTACATTATTAAACTGCATGTCCATCAAGTAAAACACATTTTTGTTGCTGTGTGTGTTCAGCACAAACACATAAACCACCCAATTCCAATTTGGCAAAATAAAGGGACAAAATAAATGTCACTACTGAGTGGTGCTTACCTGCTTGTTGCATGAAGCCAATACAATACCCGTGCAATAACACCACCTCAAATCCAAACCTCAAAACCATGCATTACCTGTGTTTACCTTTGAATCTGTCTAGTCTTACCCAGTGAGCTATGAGTCCACTGTGACGGAAGCCCCACATTTCCTTAACCAGAAACCAAGGCTTTCTATCAGCAGTCAGAACACACCAGATCTAAATTCACTTGTTTTGTCCTGAAGTTGTTAAGAAATCATTTTTCTTCTGACAAGACTATTGAGGGGAAATGAGGGAGAGAGAAAGGGAAGGGGGGCAGAAAGTGAAACAAACAGATGACGGAGAGAAGAAAAACCTACTTGATCTCAAGTTTTTCAATGTCCTCCTCCTCCACTTGGAAATGAGACTTTTTAGAGTAGCTGCTGGACCGTGTGACCTGAGGATGGACATGTCAAGGCTTATTATTTACAATAGACCAATTCAATCCTATGATGTGACTAGACAGCAAAGTGTGTGTAGCAGAATTTACCTCAAAGAAGAAGGTCTCTTCAAAATGAGGGTTGCTGGTTTTCTTCTTTACTTTTGTTTTCTTTTGGTCAGACCTGAGGAGATACATTACAGAAACTCTGATACACATATTTTAAAAACTAGCATCGGCAGATACTCAATATTAAATTACTTGGATCGAGATCAGGGACAAGAAATCAGTACAGGACACATTCACAGGTCATATTTACAGGTCATACAGGATGACATAATATTCGTGATGTTTACCAATGGCCGGTAACTGATGTGTCTTATTTTCCAGTTTAGTTTTTACTTCCATTTCCTCCAGTGTTTTGTCTTTGAACTTAAACTGTAATGTTTATTTAAGGAAACTGCTATAATCTCCATTTAAAAAGTACAAAGTTAAAAGCAGCAAACAACACTTAACAACAATACTTAAAACATTCAAAAAACATTACTACAGTATATATGTATGTTGTTGTACGGTATATGTGTGGCATTGACAGGGTTACCTGGCAGGTCCAACAAGTGACACGGTGGCATAGGGGTCACAGTTCTGCCCACTGATCAAAGGTAGTCCTTGGCACTCTATTATCCTAGAGGAGGTCACAGAGACATAGGGAGGGTTCATTTATCATTATCAGTTGTATGTACTAGTCGCAAATATTTTTCACTTTACATCGTTGCAGATAAGCAGCAATCCACCCTTTTAAATAGTGCTGTAAAGATAAGCAAAACTTGTGATATTTCAAGCAATTACGAATGGACAGACTTTAAAAGTGACTTAGACCTTGGGAGGGATTAGCTTTCAACTCCGTGTCTTGAGAGCATTAATGGTAAATAATTTTTTGTTGGTTCAACAGATGCCTGAGTGGAAATGTTTTTGCCATTAACCCTCTGTGGTCTGCACGACACTGAGTAAAGACAACAGAGGTTTACTTAAAACAGGACAGCAACAAGGAGTTATCTTGAAAAAATATTTCTGAAACAATGAATGTTTCCAAACAGCAACTTAATTTAACACTTTTAAAACCAGACACAATCTTAAAAACTTAACAAATGTGGTGGTCATCAACTCCAACAAAATAATAAAAATAAAAACAAATTAGCTCAAAAAGTCTAATAATAGCCCATCATAATATCATAATACCAAACAATACTTTTCCCACCACCAACGCTGCTGATAATAATTACTGTATAAAGCTAACATTATACACATTATAATGGCCATTTCTGATTATTGATGCAGCATTGATTCATACAACATAGTGTTGTATTTTTTTGATGAGGATGCCTGGAAGCGACACCGGACACAGACGGCTAACATATTGTTGGAACTGGTTGCAATTCAAATGTTTTTTTTTTCCACGTTTCATTTCATTTCATCAGTTCTCATGCTTGCTTAATCTGGCATCAATTATCCAGATCACCATTTAAAAACAACATTGTTGCCAAGTCCTCAATTCTTAAAGCAGACATGGAGTCATCATTAAACTGTGAAAAACAGTTCCATGCTCGGATAAACTGGTGCTTTGCCCTCATGTTTGGCTCGTGTCACACAGGGACCACTGCTTTTTTCACAGGTGTTTCAAGTGACAACAAACAGACACTGTAGGCACCCTAAACAGGATGTGGCTGCTAAGCAGGAGTCACCAGAGAATAAGAATGAATTCACCCCATCACTAAGTGAAGCCAGAGGGACAAGCCAAGCAGAGCAAATGTCAGGATGTTTGTGTATCATCTTCCAGGGTGTCATGACAATATTCCCTATAGTCTCCTTTGTATCTCTTTCATAACTCAACCCTATCTTGCTCTGATATTTGACAATCTCTGGTGACTAATCACACTTCAACAGGATGACTAGAAGAGTACAAATGATAAGCTCTACACCTCTGATTTTAACTTTGCCATCTTGTCCGGTCAGTCTGATGTTGGGGAGCCTCCAGTGTTCATCATCCATGTATATACAATGATAGCTGACAGGGACAGGTTGACAGTTTAAGCCAACAATCTGAGTTAAACAGTGAATGATGGCAGCAGAAAACCACAGCGGTTGCAGTGTGAGAAGTGCAGGCTTCCTGCTCAGATGCCATCACTTCCTCCGCATTACCCTGCTCTCCAAGTATGAATGGGGGATGCAAAACAACATGCGTAAACAGCATGCGGTCTGACACACTCATGCATATACATGCTTTATGTGCCCTTAATGCTTCAATGAGCACTTCCTTTTATTGAACAAATTCCAAGTTAGTAAGCAAAGTGAGAGAACATTAACATGTTTTTCTTTTAAACCCATCAACAAATGTACCTCTCTATGTATCCCATCTCCTCAATGTACACATATTGAGACAGGATCCTAGACATTTTGGACACTAACAGTGTGTAGATTTGCCCTTCTTTAACTTATTTCTTTTTGGTTTCATTCTCATATACCTCTGTCTGAACTATTAGAGATCTCCAGTTTGGATACAGTAGTAGGCAAAACACAAATTGTGCATTTCTTAGTTGTTTTTAACTCATGCCTAAAATCACTGAGGAAATGTACACAACTGAAAATACTTTGACTGGAAGAGCTATTGTTATTGGCTGAGAAACAAAGCTACAATACACATTTTGTTTGTTTGGGGAATATGGTAGAAACTTAAAAACTGGATTAATAAATGTCAGTTTCCTGCACAATTCTGTGATTCCTGATTGTCCAGTATATTATATTATATTATATTATATTATATGTTTCATATAGTTGACACACAAGACAAGGGGTTCAAACAATATAGAGCATTTTGCCTCTTTAATTTCCCCTTTTCATTATGTTATTGCAGGCTCAGTCTATCTTTGTAGTTGGTTTACACAATGTGTAGCCAATGCTTTCTGTGTGTGTTGTATGTATGTGTGTGTACATGTAAGATACATGTGAATAAATGTATACCAATGTAAAACACTTGCACAAACTTTTTTCTTAAAGTGGAAGCAATCATTTGGTTCAATTCTCAGCTTTTAAATGTCTACCTTGATTTCAAATTCCCTGACAACCCACTGGATTAAGAGCTCACTTGACCGGAATAAAAGGGAATCTTGGTACTCACCGGACTACTAAGTGTTGACCAACTGAGCCGTTCTCTGTGATCACTTCATTCAATCGCATCTCCAAGTGAACCTTACCCTGTTGAACATGAGGAGAGGAGAGTGACCGGTGAGAAGTTACAAATTACTCAAGTCATGAGATCTCAGTCTTACACCAGGGCACAAGTAAAAAGTTTCAAGTCCTAAGTTAATGTGTGGGTTGTAAAAGAAGATTAAATGTGGGCTGCAGTGTGTGCTTGTGAGAAAATCAACACATCAAATGTGATTCCTTCAACTAATCATTAACCCAACTATATAAACTATTTTCATTGCATTTTGTTTGAAACGTTTGCTTGTTTCTCTTACTGTCATTTCTCATACTACTGCCTTTTTTTATTCTCTAGACCCAGTCCTAGACCTGTGGCTAAGCTTCACATCATGCTTCATCTCATTTTAGGTTAATGGAGGAACCGTGTGTGACAAGAGCCACAGCAGCTGTGAATTTTGTCATCACTCAGGATCTTTACGGGGTCGGATGTGGTGAAGGCTGCCGGTCTTGCCTTCGGAAGTGTCAGAGAGAGAGAAAGAGAAAGAGATATAGAGAGAGCAAGGGAGAGTAAGCTACACAAAACGCCCACACACTTGCACTCTGTCTCTGCAATTCAGCACTTGGCTGAGATAGCAAGTAGTTCTTTCTGATGCAAGATAGGCCTTTAAGCCAATATAATCCACTACTGCAAGGATCCAAATGAGCCAATATCATCAGCAAATTACCACTTACATTACATGTACCCATCCTCCCTACAGGTAATGAA